TCGGTGTCTAACTACTTTTCCATGCTCTCTTCGCACGTGCTGGGCAAGGATGGAAGAAGCAGCGCGGCGGTTAGACCATGACAGGCTAGAGGCATGAAGAAGCTGGCTTCAGCTTTGGCTTCGGTTGATGCCGCCCAAGGGATGAGGATTGTCGTTGGTTAGAGACGTTGAGAGATATGGCCCAGGATAGAAGTCAGTGGTGTGAGTGCTGTACGGTCTGCCTGTCGAAATCCTGTGCCCCGTAAAAATAGCAAAAAACAAATAAATTGTATGAAACAAAAAATTATGTTATCCCAGTTATCTTCGATTTTTCCGTATTTAACTGTTTCACCCTCCGCCCACTTTGATCTGTATCCCAATCCACCCATCCCCTATTATTGTTATTGGTAATATTGTGGCGTTGGCACTATGCTTGTTCACAGGCCGGTGTAAAATATATATAATATATACGGTGTCTAAAGTACGTGTTGGGTGAACCAAGTCGTTTTCACGACTCAACGGTCAAGGCAATGACTCCGTGCTCATCAGGGATGCGTGGACCCCTGTTCAGTTAGAAACTGCCAATGGCATATGAGCTCACCCCCAAAGAGCCACCGGCAACCGTGCGCTACCTTCCTGCTACTTTGCAGTTAGCACTTGGATGTGCAAAGGCTAGAGATGCCACCGACCCAAAGCCGGGTGACCCTGGGGACGTTTCCTGTACCTAACTGTCAAGACATTTCTGGATATTGACTTGATATTTGTGTAGCCAGCTTGCCCTCTCCCAGGAGCCAATGCCGTCAAAAAATTAAGTCATCTGCATAGAGTCCTGATAGCCCTCAGACTATTTTAAAGATTTCCATCAGGCCTCACATTCGTCTACATTCCAGCAAAAAGAGATTTGGGTCCCTCAACTGTTGTTCATAGCCTTTGCGCAGCTACCATTCTCCAGGCATGCTATGTCCTTTTTATACTATGGTACCCATTCCTGAACACAGTATTCTAAGGACGGGCGAACTGTTGCCTTTTAGATAGGTACAGAGATCTCCGCGTTTCTGCAGGTAAGGGTAGCACAACCTGAAGAGCTCAGAGGCCTTATTGGCCTTCAGGCAGTGTTTCGGGTTTGAAGCTCTTCGTGAGAATAACCCCTAAGACCTTAACCACCTGTGTGCTGCAATGGCAGCCGCCCGTCCCAGGCGGTATCAGCGCTTGCGGTTAAAAGCTGGCACCCTTCGAGATTTAGCGGTAAGTCCCACTGGGTCGACCATTGTCTAACAGCTTCTACATCGCACTCTAGATTTGTTCCGGCTACTTTTACATCGTCCGCGAACATGAAACAGGTATTCTGGAGATCCCTTGTCAAATCGTTGATGTAAATTAGAAAAAGTAGTGGTCCTAGTACTGCTTCTCGAGGCATCCCACTTGTTACTCTTGCAGGTTCGCTCAGAAAATCACCAACCTTCACACAGTATGATCCAATTTCTTGCTGACCCCAATAATCCTACATCCTGTAGCTTGTGGTCTAGAAGCATATGACTGACTGAGTCGAAGGCTTTGCGGAAGTTGAGATAGCAGACTTCGACCTGCTGACCTTCATCCGGCCTTTTAGTAACCTCATCCAAAAAGGTTAGCAGGTTAGTCGGGCATGATCTGCTCTCAGTGAACCTATGTTGTGCGGGTGCCAACAAGTTGTGGGTGGTTAGGTGCTTACATATTTGTCCCCTGATGATCCGTTTCAAGCATTTTCACAGAACGGATGTCAGGCTAATTGGTCGGTAGTTGCTCACCTTATGCCTAGGTCCTGACTTGAATAGAGCGACAATCGTTGCTGTACGCGAGTCCTCTGGTAATATCCCAGTCCTCAGAGATCACTCAAGTAGGATAGTTACCGGATGTGCCAGAAGCCCTGCTAGTGGCCGAACTATAGCAGGGTGTATTCCATCCGGTCCTGCAGCCTTATGTCGATTAAGTGACGCAAGCTCTTGGACTACATCACTCTCGTTGATTATTATTTCACTAGTCGTTGGTATACTTAAGCGTGGCGCAGTGAGCTTCGCAACATCCCTTCGCACTGGCTGTCGGTATATATACTCTTGAAGAAGGCTAAAAGAGTGGTTGTCTTGTCTTGGTCCAATGTGGCTAGGCTACCTCCACTCATCTCCAAGGCGCACACACTTTCTTTTATATTTTTGTTGGCTTGCACGTAGGCACAAAACTTTTTGGGATTATGCTTGATGTTCTGTGCCTGGTTTCTTTCGTTTATGTATTTTCCTTCTCGTTGTATGGCCTGTGCCTTGTTACGGGCTTTCTTGTATTGACATCATGTCTGATGCATGCCGTATATTCGGTAATTTGCCCAGCATCATCTGCGTGTTTTCACTGCTCTCTCTAGCTCGGGCCTCCACCACACTGACCTGTGGTGTCCACGCCTGGGGCGTAGTGGCGTAAACTCCTCAATAAGTCGACGTATACCTACTTGGATATTATGCCATCTCTCTTCCACTATGAGCTCCGGGGATTCTGTTGTCCAGATGAACTGCTCCGTTGTTTCACGCCTCATTTATACGACTATGGCATCGTACCAATGAGGCTTTCTGTGCTTTTCCGTCAACAGGAATCTCCACAGTAGATGATCACTTTTGCTCAGTGGTTCTTCTACTTTTATTTCACTTACATCCGACGGGTACCTTTTTATAACTAGGTCCAAGATGGACGGCCTTTGTTGATCCCTGAATCTCGTGACCTGCATAGCGTGTTGTGTCAGCGCGTGGGAGTGTATCCATTCTAGAAAATTTTCACCTGCAGACCCGCTCGTTACACGGGCTCCATCCAGTATATTGTGAGAAATGGCCTTGTGACCTTGTGTCAGTTTTACAATGGGATAATGTGCGTGATATTCTCACTTTGCGGAAAGTGCCAAATTTTGACTTGGTAAAAATTGATGTATGTTGGTGCATATTAGACTCGAAGCAATATGCCGAGGTGAAGGACAATAAAACAATCTGGTCAGCAGTTTGTGGTCGGACACACCTGACATCTTTTGATGTCTGCTCAGTGGAGTAATACCAATGCCATCTCACTGTTACAACAGTATCCTATGATCCCTATCATTTGACGCTTCTTACGGCGATATACGGACACGTGACTTGCAAATGCAAGAACCTGAATTACCATTTAAGGTACGGAATCTGAAAGTGGTTATCAGGGTGCTACTTTGAATACATGACGTGATGTTGGAAGGGGGCGTCTACTTTTGGCTGAATGACTTGATTATGCACGGCCAGAACCGGTATCGAAGTGCAACCGGAATTGGTTCGCCGTCTCTTGCTGGTCGTAGTCCCCTTTGATGAACTGACCCAGAGTTTATTGCCCCCTTGTTTCCTATTTTTAGACGGTGCCAAAGTAACAGACATCGTCAGATATAGGGTTTAAATGCACCGTACACCTTGTTTGTAAACTATTCTGCAGATCATAGAACCTTTTTCTTTTTACAAATGCTATTATATCGATGAATGCAAACGCCTGTTGTACGAAAAAATTTCTATACTACTATTTATAAACCCAGAAAATCCATAGGGGATTCTGCACACAGAGGTCTCATCCCTTGAGTGGCTTTTAGTACCAGGTTCCTGGATTTGCGTCTCCGATACGTAACAGACATCAATCTCCAAAAAGTCCGTTGTACGCGCCAGGCACGCTTATTGACCCACC